TTGGCGGAGAAAATGAGGGGAAAGGCTTTGTCTCCTTCTCACGTGAGTGTGCCGATTCAAAAGGACAAGATGCTCGGTCAATATGCTCCTCATGCACGGCATTTGAACACAAAAAGGACAAGGCGCATGACATTTTATGATCTAAGGGACAAAATGCACGAAAAACGTCACACACACAAGCCAAGGGAAGGCACGGTCTTCCACACGCACTAGGATTCTCCGCCCATTAACACTTGCACGGCAACATGGACAATGATGGAAGATTTATCGGACCGAACACGCGCGCACGGTCTTCATGACTTGTGTGGGGCGGAAATCTCTCGGACACACGCACGAACACGTGCACGGCATACACATGAACTTAGGTCCGAGTAACGCACGACTATGAACATGAACTCGGAATAAAATCCGAATATTAAGCTAATCTCGTGATTAAGTTAAGTTAATCACTTAATTATGTTTAATCATCCAATTAAACATAATGCTAAATTACCAAAATTATTCCGAACGTAAACGGTACGTCGAAAATATCTTTCGGTAATTCCGACTGAAATAACTGAAAATAAATAATTCCGAAAAAAATAATATCGGAACTAAAATATTATTATACTGATAAAAAGTCGGGATATTACACGATTTTCTCTCTTAAACCTCTCGACTTTCTCTTATTTCTCAAGTGTTACTTAAATTTTCTGAGTGTTTACTCTCTATACTCAGCTAAGGAATGATAATTATAATGTATCTCACTTAGGGTATAGACAAAATAGTAGAAATGGTATGCAAATGGTTGTTGAACTTTTCATATGCACATTAGGTGTTGTCTACTTGACTTGATAGTCTTTATGCTACTATACTCTAGAATTGCTGAGATTTGCTGAACCAAAATGATCCTTGTTTTGTCTCACATGGTTTAAGAACGTGCCTTAATCAACTCTTAGGTAGATCAAGACAAAAACTCTAACTAATGGCATAAAAATATTGTTTCTAGCACATGTCACACTTGTCACCACATGTTGACTTCTCAAGCATTTCCGCCTAACTAAATTAGCCCAAACCACTCTTAACCCATCTGGTTATACTCACATAACACATGGCCCAAAATATTATAGCCATAAAATGAGCCATTGGCTCAAGAAATGCGAGTGGCTCGGTGCTATTACCCCCGGCAATAAATTTCGCAAGATGAGGCTACAAGTTTCTCTAACTGTTATGGATGAGTATGAATTCGTTTTGATGGCTTAAAATACTATTAAAGAAATGAAAATATAATGGTCTTAATGTCTGGTTGAAACGATTCAAAGTTCGAGTCGCAACTGTTCTAAAATGAATTCAAACGAACAACAATTCGGCTTACGCGATTAAACCGAAAATTCAAGCGGCGATTGATAAAATAAAATCGAAAGAACTATATAATTATAGTATCCAAATAGTAATATAATATATAATCACATAATCAAGGCATATAAATAATAAAATAAAATACCATTAATTAACATAAACGCAGAAAAATCTAATTTTCGAACGAGTTAAAATCGATTTACGCGTTTAAACTAAAATTGTCGAACGACGAACGTTTTACAATAAAATGATTGAGTACTTAAATACATAATATAATTACTAAATATTTACGACATCACAACCGATATAATAAATATAATCTCATAATTAAAATTCGATAAATAGAATAATCCGAGAAATTATATAAATCAAACGGGGCGCTACAACGCCATTCTATCAATATAATCATAACGAGAGTACGTTCTGTTGGTGATTATACTGAAAGCTTGGCTTTATATGTATTTAAACTAAACCCGTTTGAATGAGAATCATGTTTAATTAAACAAGTCTACGTTCTATTGTTTTGCATTAGATAGGGTGGGTCATCATCGGGCAAACCGAAGATCACTTTATCAGTTAACTCGCGAAACGAGAATAATGGTTCACAACCTAGATGGACATGAATACCCCATCGTGAAAGGTTGTAGTGTCAACGGTACAGTTTGTCTTGGTTGATTAGTTGCACTAGTACACTTTGTGTATTGAACGGATCCCAGAGAGGAGCAGTTCGTTTTATACTGATTGTCGTAAACGAACTAGGCCTCGGTTAATTACTGCGTTCTCTTAACCCGTAAGATATTAAACAGGCATATATATGTAGTACTTATTACTTTGATTCACATGGGTGAGGCTTAGTGAACTGGGCCAATAGACCCGCTGTCTTAGGTAATATTGTTGCATGTATGATGTGGTGTTAGGATATTTACTGTCACCGTGTGTGTTAGTTTGATGATGTCCCCGAGATGAGCTCATGAAGGATTATTATTATTTTAAATCTGTCCAGTGGAATTTATTCTGACATAATAATAATGTGATGAGTGGTACTAGTCTCGGTTATAGATGTCGATTAATTTAATTGTCAGTAATTAAATTAATTGATGGACATTATGTAACGCCCCGTATTTTATTAATAAAGAAAAATACTAGATTTTAGTTTTAAGCTAGCCTTTGTTAATAAATAATCATGTTCATGTTCAAGTTCGAGTTAATCAGCTAGTCATATTCCAAGTTCGACTATTAGTCGATAAATTATTCGGTTTAATTATTTAAGTAACCGAATAAGTTTCCAGATAATTCTGATTCGTTTATTTAATTAATGAGTTCGAAATTAATTATTCAGTCAGGAATAGCCTGTCAGATTAATAATAAATCATGTTTTAGTTCAGATATAATAATATTGTCGAGTATTATTTTTGGAATTATTTATTTTCAGTCGAGATTACCCGAAATTATTTTCGACGTTCCATTTACGTTCGGAATAATTTTGGTAATTAAGTATTATGCTTAATAATTAATTAAGCATAAAGGGAAGATTAATGAATAATTAACTATGTTCAATAAGCTAAATGTCGTGAGTAAAGTGGGAAAATTGTGAGAATTTCTCTTTTATTCCTACAAAAGCCATGAGCTTTTCCTTCAAGTGAGGGAAGTTTATTTCCTCCTTTAGTTCAAAGCATGAGGTGGCAAGAGGGGGTAGCATATGGGATGACTCATTAGATTTAACCTCCAAGATTTTAGCAAGTGTCCAGTTCTTATTAAGCCACAAAGATGCCTTGTCATCTCCTCTCATTTTTCTTTCTTGGTACGGCTATATATATATGTGTTGTGTGGGGTGAAAATTTTTCCCCTATACTGAAACCTATATATACATACTAAAATTACTTAGCAAGAGAGAGAGTGGAAATTCCCTTGAAATTAACCAAGCTCACGCGAGAAGCTTAAAGCAACCACACCGCACGCACTCGGCGTAGAGCACGCGCACGATTACGCATCGAGTGTAGCTTCAGCCAACCGTGTAAGGAGGTAATCTCGGTTACATTTGATTTATCCTGT